ATTTTATACTAATAAGTCAATGACAAACATAATATGTCATCGTTATTATTTTTTCAAAACAAACTGTATATCACAAGTACATGTAAATTATATATAAAAATGTCATCAACGTGCATGTTTTAAGTATTTATATTACGAGACATTTTTCAATCTTCTTAGCTTTGAAGTAGTTTAATTCGAATAAATCCGGCCTTTTATCCTGTAACGAGAGCTGCAGCATTGAGGATTCAGCTGCATCCCTAGTTACGATTCATTTTCTCGGATATCGCGCGGTTGTAATGTAGCTTTCTCCGCGGATATAAAACAATTCCAATTACGCGGAACATTGCGGAAACTCGTGGAATCAAGTCGTACTTGATTCCTTCCCTCCACCACTGACTGTCACATTTCTCGTTCATCTAAAGAAGAACGAGTCGGATGATTCAACCGATGAAAAATGCTTTTCGTAAATTGTCCTTTAATGCTCATCCTATATGTCCTAGCAAAAGAAATAGACAAACACCATCGCGAAGCTAACGAATGAAGACGGATGATATAGGACGGCGGTGTAGAAAACGATACGTTTGCGTCGAGGTCAGGTCGCGGGCGCACATACAGTGTCCGGAAAAAAATAGGAGAACTCATTTCGCTGGCTAAAAATTGCGGAAACGCGAAAAAAATTTTTTTCCAAGTGCAAAATATGATTAACGGATGAGCGCGCTTGCGTGTACTCGCATACTTATTCGATGAAGCGTACAAATGGCGGGTTGCAACGTGATTTGAGTGTATGCGGCATCGCACGCGGAGTCACTACGTGTTCCGCAAAGAAAAACTCGAAAAATGCATATAAACCGCGCGATTTTGCAAACGGATGCAAATGTTCCCGGTCGCGTCCGAATCGTCGGGCGCGAAATTATCTATTTCGAATTTTTTTTACAGCAACACGAACATTGGTTTACCGAAATGTTTTATAACACAGTTATAGAAACACACTGTTCTAAATAAAACTAGTATTACGAGTAAATTATTATTTTGGTAAAAAATGATTTCAGTCATAAGTACAATAGTATAATCTCACCGAGAAGAATTAATTGTAATAGTTGACTTTTCAATAAAATTTTAGTGATATAAAATAAAATATAAAATAGAGGAATAAAGTAAGTGTTCTCATCAAAATATACCGATCTCATTGTATTGAAGATTCCCCCATTTGATAAGAAAAGAATTCTTGTCACTAATTTAAACAGTGATATTTTTATTAATTCAATTTAAGAGAAAATTTTGTAAATAACATATAATTCTGATAGCGAATTTTATTTCATAATCCTCAAATGTATAGGAAATTATCTGTTAGATTGCACCATTTTCACATTTTAGTCTGTTTTATTAGCGGTGAGTTTTGATCCCTTTATCGCCGGTCTATTTTTATCTCTATATTTGCTGACTTTGATAAACAACTTTCATGAACTATCTTGGCAAAGTAGGGCGCATTGCATTTCTGCTAACAGTAAAATTTGTATTTGAAGGTTAAATAACTATTTAACTCAGGGAGAGAGAAAAAGAGAGAGAGAGAGAGAGAGAGAGAGAGAGAGAGAGAAAGCATTTATAATATTTATACATAATATTTTAATAAAACGTCACGTCATTTAACTACAACTTAAACAATCTCTCATATTTGAAATTATCTCTGTGTAATATTTTAATCTTGCATCCGAAAAGAAAAAGAGAGTTGTAGTTTACGGCATTATATTAAAACAACTCACACACATACAAAGTTGTTTAGAGATTTATATGGGAAATATTTTACCAGAATACTGACCGAGAAAAGGATAATCCTCGTGTTCGCTGTAAGAAGCTTATGGCGATTGGCACTACGACAAATCTTTTACAAGTTTGAAAAATCGTACATAATATTCTGTCGTACGATACAACGTGCGAAAACATTTATAAAGGACGGCAGTTTACTCTATATCGTAATAATCCTGGTAATCGAACAAGAATTCATCCCGATAACAGAAACAGTAAAAAAAAGCAGTTAAAGAAGAAATTGAAAAATAAAGTCTTATCTGAATCCAGCTATATATCTGTTACCCACCTCAATATATATATATATATATATATATATATATATATATATATATTGCATTAAAAAAAATTGACTACGTCATCTCTGTGAAGCGATGGGTAGATAGAGCGGTAAGAGAAAAGGGTGAAGACACGAATCGGTTGGAAACTTCAATCCGATTTCACCTTCCTGTTCCATCTTTTCTCGCACTAGTTTGCTACACTGAGCAGAAATGCTATATGATGATGTCGAAACGATAGCGTTTAAAATTGTTTTTTTAGATAGAAAACTCTGAAAGCGCGCTTTGAGGGTTTCAACGTATGTCGTGCGGAAATGCTACGCAATTTCATTCAATTCTTGAGTCAATTTAAATAATAGATATATGATAAAATATATATATATATAAAAGCTGAGAACAAACAAAAATTATACCTCAAAGGAAAGTAAATTTGGAGAAGAGAACAATGTTTCTCTATTTACTTTTATTCAATATATTGTTTTATATTTTCAGAAACTTTTTGTCAATCGTTTACAATCTAGTTCTAGATTGTTGAAATTAATTTAATTTAATTTAATTTAATAGGACAAGAGATAATGCAACAAATAAAGCGCATCATCTTAAATTAATTAAATAAACGATTAAGTAAAAATTAATAACATTTTCTATATATAAAAGATGTCTTTTTAATATTCAAGCTAATTTTCTGTTTAAAATTGAGTCTTTTATTTGAAAAATACGGTATTTTTTTCCGGATAAGATGCTGCAGCAAAACGAGGTGCGCAAGATGCAATATTCTATTGGAAATTATTGGATCTTGTCACATTTCACCTGCGCTTTTTGCAATCGCACGGAAGAGCGTATTTATTCACAGCTTCGCGATACGCTATTGAATCACGCAGTAGCGTACAATTAAATCTGGTTATTTACAGAGCACGCAAAGTACATAGTACACATATAGGTATGAAAAGAGATCGAAAAAGCCCAATGCGGCATTTGCCAATAATTCCTTGTTGACGCAAGAAGCAATCATCCGCGTCATGCCGCAGATATTAAATCCGCGATTTTAAACCCAAAGCAATTCTATTTTATAACATATGTAATAAATTAAAACGAAAATAGAAACATTAAGTACCGATATGTTTTTAAAGGAAAAGATATCTATAGTACAAGTTTTTGCAATATTTTGTAACTGATAATAGATGTATCTTTAAAATTGATTTTTAACAATGACTGTAAGTTCCAAACTTTGTGTCTTTATTTAAAATAACATATATCTCGATCTATTTTTAATGTTAAAAAATTATCATATAATTTAAATTATGTAAAAAAATGTCTATAGATAATATTTATATAGATAAAATGGTCATTATTGTATAAATAAGATTGGTTTATGAACTCTGTAGGCTATTTTCTAGACCAAAATCAAATTGAGATACGATGTGTCAACGTGCTGAAAAATAAATATAACTCGAGTGCAAAGATATAACGCAATTTTTTGAAAATATTTTCTAGAAATTAGATTGTGGTTTAGTATTTACATTACGTTTAAACACATTATTTTATGATCGTCAATATAAAATAATGTATTTAAACATAAATACTAATCTATAATCGAACATCTAGAAAATATTTTCTAGAAAATAATGTGTCAGAAAATTGCGTTACATCTTTGCACTCGAGTCACATTTATTTTTCAGCATGTCGACATATCGTATCTCGATTTGATTTTGATCTAGAAAATGGCCTACAGAGAATCGTTAAACCGTTTAGAATGAACAGTTACGACGGAGTCCAATCACAGTTCACGGTCCCGAAGCGTACGGCTCAAAGACATTTAATTTCGCAGTCTCTCGTTATACCCCTGATTTCCCGGGTGATGTGGACAAAAGAAAAATCGTGCAGAAAGATGGTGCCGGTTAAAGAAATATCAGACAGCACAAACAAAAACGTATAAAAATGCCTGGCTCATAAAATTTAGATTCAAAGAACAAATAATGTCGCAAAGGATGTTTCAACCGCAATGTTTTAAAAGTAATTGTTGACTTAAAATCTTTTGTTGATTCTTGAAAAAAATTATATAAAAAGCACCAATTTTAACATCCAAAAAGTAAAACGTCGAATCTAAATTCGACAAAGCATTAAATTATTAATCAAAAATTCACGAAAAAAATAGCTATCATAACTAAATTTTAACTATCCTTATATCACAATCTGAAATTTAGTTATTCGCCTAAATTTTAACTACTGGTAACTAATATTCTTTAGCTGTGGTTTAACGGAGAATTCTATAGCTAAAATATTAGTTATCATAACTAAAATTTAGGCATGATAACTAAATTTTATGTGTAATATATACAGACAGCTAAAATTTAACATAATATAGCTAATTATTTTCCGTGTTGCCAATAATTACTTAATTATTTGGAAAATTTCCAAATTATTCGATGAATCATTAAAATGAAATTGACCATAATAGGAAAGGAAAGCAGATTGTTTGTCATATATTAACATATATAAAATTAGCAAAATGTCATGAAAATCTATGACAAGAAATTTCTAATCACTATCAAACACCATTATTTCATTATTTTGATTATTAGATCAAATTTTTCTACCATTACTACGTGCTATAATAGTATAATGTGCTATAGCTGATAATATAATAATGAGATGTGTACACTGAACAAAAATTTAATTAATTCTTATAAATATTTATTTCAACACTGCCAAATAAATCATTTCTTTGAAATTAATAATATTTATTTGATATGAAAAATATTTATTTGATATAAGAAAATCTGTTTCAAAACATATATTTATTTGTTTCAAATAAATGATTTATTTGGCAGTATTGAACTAAATATGTATTAATTTAGTCTTTTTTTTTCAGTGTATGTATTAATTATACACATTATCATATCGCATTGTAGGACATACTTGTATATTTTCGTCGAAGTCGCATATTTTACTGGAGACCAAGCGGTAGATGGAGATTAATTCCAGCGCTAATTTAGTAGCAGGTAGCAAATGCCCTAGTTGAAGTATTCCCCCGGGTAAGTTGCACCAAGACTTCCCAGCCGCAAATGAAACTCGAGCTTCACGCAGTTATCTCGTTTTCTTCAGCCCCTTCCAGGCAGCAACCTTCTTGCATCTCGCAGGAGCGAAAAAATGTCGCGACCTCGAGCTTGCCTAACAAAATTTCCAACAAGATTATAACATTTCCACGGTATTCAGTTTATACGTAACATTTTAGAAAAGAATCGGTAAAAAATAACAATAAAATTCATTCGTTCATCGGTGCATAAAGCGTAAACCACGAACATTATATTTAATAATTTATAATTGATATAAAAATATATTTTGTATACGTATTATATATATGTACATATGTATTTGTACGTATGTATATATGTATATATGCATATGTATGCGTATATATATGTGCATATATAAATGTTTCGTAAATATTTTAATTATATCATTATAAACACAGAAAGCAACAACAATTTACATTTTAGATAGCTTTTAGTCAATTTTAATGTAATTCTACATCAAGATTTTGACCGATATAAAATGTTTAGCCAATTGGCGCGATCACTCCCGGCATATTCCAGGCGACATTATCAAACAGTTATATTTAACAATATGTGCAACATCTGCAAAGTAGTTTAACATTTGTAGACGCTTGATAAACATGAAAGCTAACAGTAGCAATTAATACAAATGAAAAAATGATGAAAAAATAATATGCATACTTTATCTGAAGAGGAGAGAAACTTCCGAGCGTGCTAGACCCGCCTTTTTTCTTCGCGAAACAGGCTTGCCAACTTGTAAAAAACTTCACACGATCAAGCAAGTCCACCTGTTACCAACGCCTCGATGCGAGCGCCATCTGCGGTTACTTTCGAAAACGAAAAGCCGTCAAGGAACGGCGCTGTCATCGCGGGACGACGTTTCTCCGATCACGTAGGCCACTCTTCGTCATTTGCAAACTTTCTGCCTGTAACAAAGCCAACGAAAGGTCAGCCATGTTCGTATAGTGAGTAGAGTTGTGGGTGGTACTACCACGGTGGTACGCGTGGTATAGGTGTGCGGGGTTTAGATACGTGTAGTTTCATTATTTTTTCGCGTGCGTCCGATAATGCTCGCTTATTGTTTATTTACGTAGCGCGTAACGCGAACGAGGATTTTCATCCGCGTTCGTCGAATTTCACGCGAGACGTGGAGCGGAGTTTCGTCGCGGCGTCGCGCGAATTCCTCGAGAATCGTTCTCGTCGAATTCGAGAGCCTGCACGGTAGGTTTGCTCGCGTAGCTTACGAATATTATCTCTCCCTCGTTTTTCCGCGAGTAATTGTCGATGCGCAATTTATGAGAAGCGCGTGAAAACTATCCCAGTTACGTTCGGCCGAAGCGCGACAGACAGCTTCGAGGAAATTCGAGGAATTCCGCGATATCTGACCACATACACCACGCTGTCCCGCGTTCGACGTTTACTGGTGCATCTGCGCATTTTATAACCTGACAACACGAGCGAAGTACTTCGTCCTGGATTAATCTTATTTATCATGCTATTGCATCTTTGACGAAACATTATAGAGGTAAGGCACTTTCTCCACGTCGCTCGAGACACTTTTTTGTTATTAGTTTCGTCCTTATTGATGACTCATTCTCAGTTCTATTTGTTCTGTCTCGACGCCGATCGTTGTTTGGGTTGCATCATTTATGAACGATTAAACGAATGCTCGAAGCTTTCTTATTGAAATTGTTCTCGAATTTACTCATTTGTTTAAATTAAATTCACTGTATCTCTGATGCATCCATTTTCTGTTTCTCTTTCCGATGCAATATGCAATTTTTTTATTTTTTTTATTTTTTTAGAACTATGCACTTTACATGTATAATAAAAAATGATTATTATTTACAGCAATATATATCTATGTTTCACTGGTGTATACTTAAATAAAAGGTACTACAATGTGGTCAACGCAAAGTAATAATTCTAATCCTAACTCTACGCCAAGTGAGAGGAACAATTTACGTACTTTGGGTATGACATCTGCTATTAGCGTAGCAGAGCCCAAACCCATCGACATTGCCAGAACTAACGAATTGAAAGAGGCTCTTAAACCCTATAATGTTTTTGAATCTGAAGAAGAATTAAATCACAGGATGGAAATTTTAAGGTACTTTAGAATTGTAACTCAATATTATCAACTGAATATATGTTAATAATAAAACTATAATATAGTTGTATTATTAACATATATTTAGTTGATAATAAGAGCAAATAAAATATATATATATAAAATATTTAAAGTTGCTTATATTCTCATATTCTCACAGCAAACTGAATGCATTGGTTAAACAATGGATAAGGGATACAAGTATAGCTAGAAATATGCCACCTAATGTAGCTGAACAAGTCGGTGGCAAGATATATACATTTGGTTCATATAGATTAGGTGTACATCACAAAGGTGCTGATATTGATGCTTTGTGTGTTGTACCACGTCATATATATAGAACAGATTATTTTTCATCCTTTTTTGAATTGCTGAAAATGCAAGAAGAAGTTACAGATTTAAGGGTAAGTAATTCAAAAATATAATACATAATTGCTACCTTTTTTATTAAATACTTATTTCTTCAGAAAACACTCATAGTATGTATAATAAAAATGTATTTATTCATCTATTTAATGTATATGCATATTCTAACTTATATATTAAAAATGTGGAAAATTTTTAATATAACAAAAAAATTTTTATATATAACAAAAATCAAACTAAAAAAGTTCATGATAATTATATATATATATAATTTCTATACCATCAAAATTCATTTTTTATGACGGGTACAAAGGCTTCTTCTACTGCCTACAATATCTTAAATATAGCAAATATTATTAAGGTAGAATAAGAATATATATATATATATATATATATATATTCTTATTGCTATATTTATGATATTGCAGGCAGTAAAAGAAGCCTTTGTACCCGTCATAAAAATGAATTTTGATGGTATAGAAATCGACATGCTATTTGCAAAATTAACTCTTAATGAAATTGCAGATTCAATGGTTAGTAATATTTAATATTTGAAAAAGTATTATATAAAAGATTTTTATATATATATATATATATATATATTTCTTATTCTACCTTAATAATATTTGCTATATTTATGATATTGCAGGCAGTAGAAGAAGCCTTTGTACCCGTCATAAAAATGAATTTTGATGGTATAGAAATCGACATGCTATTTGCAAAATTAACTCTTAAAGAAATTCCAGATTCAATGGTTAGTAATATTTAATACTTGAAAAAGTACTTTCTTTTACAAGTTTTGAATTTTATAATATATCTTTAATAATTATAGGATCTCAGGGATGACATGCTACTAAAAAATCTTGATCCAAAATGCGTCAGGAGTCTCAATGGCTGCAGAGTAACGGATGAAATATTGCGCTTAGTACCTAATATAGAAAATTTCAGATTGGCTCTTAGAGCTATAAAATTATGGGCGAAACGTAAGATTATATTTTTACAATTTAATAATAACTGACAACATGATGCATATTTTACTCAACATCTGTTTTTTCATTTTTAGGACATGGCATATACAGCAATGTCTTAGGCTATCTTGGTGGTGTATCCTGGGCGATGTTAGTCGCTCGAACGTGTCAGCTTTATCCTAATGCTGTGGCTGCAACTCTAATAGAAAAATTTTTCCTTGTATTCTCTCAGTGGAAATGGCCACAACCAGTACTCTTAAAACAACCTGATAATGTCAATCTGGGTTATGCAGTTTGGGATCCAAGAGTAAGAGAGAAAAATTCTATTTTAATATCTTGCAAATAAATATTTAATCAAATTTAACAATATAAATATCAAGAAAACTTTATATATATATATATATATATATATATATATATAATAAAGTTTTGTACACATGAAATATGTAACATTTTACATGTTTTTAATTTTGTTTATTTTTAAATGTTTTATTTATTATTTTTTAGGTAAACGTATCAGATAGATATCATCTAATGCCAATAATTACGCCAGCATATCCTCAACAAAATTCTACTTTTAATGTGTCCGTATCTACCAGAACTATCATGCAAGAAGCATTTGAAAATGGATTAGCCATAACTGAAGAGATCATCATAAGTAAAGCTACGTGGGATAAGTTGTTTGAACCACCAAACTTTTTTGGAAAATATAAGCATTATATAGTATTATTGGCCAGAAGTTCAAGTGCGGAAGATCAACTTGAGTGGTGTGGCCTTGTCGAGTCAAAAATACGACATCTAATAGGTAACAGAATGAATGATATATGCATTTATATATGTACATATATACATTTATGTAAATGTAATATATATACATTTGAATGGTATTACATTTATATAGATGAATGATATTTTATACACATTTTATCAAACAATTTTAATTAACTTTTAATATGTGCAGACGCAAATTTAGATAATAGATTAAAATAACAATTCATCTTTTTTTAATTCAGATTAATTCACTAAAAAGAAATAGATGTAATTATTTAATATCTTGTAGTTATAACTTTCCTGTTATTTTTCTTTTGCTGTTATCACAATATAAATAAGTAGCTACAAAAGTATTATATGTACAAACTAAAAATACAGAAAAAAAGATGAAACAAATAATATTTTTTCAAAAAAGTGAAAAGTAGTAATTAGTGGATTAATCTCTATTTTACCCTGTAATATATTTTGTAATGAGATGTCAAAATTTTTTTTTTATATATATATTTACATAATACATTGCGATATATACTAACAATTTGTGGATGCCAAATTGGCAAAATCATAATCTTTCATACAGGTACACTGGAGAGAAATCCTCATATTACTTTGGCACATGTAAATCCGGAAGCGTTTCCACCATTGGATCCTGAACCAGGCAAACATTGTTCTATGTGGTTTATTGGCCTGTCCTTCGCTAAGAGTGAGAGTCTCAACATTGACCTCACATATGATATCAAGTCTTTTGTGGAAACAAGTAAGTTTGATTATAAATTATAATATGTAGAAAAAGTATTAATTACACATGTATTCATTGCAGTTGAAAGGCAAGCAGAACAAATAAATATGTTGAAGGAAGGAATGTGGATTGAAGCTAAGCATGTAAAAAGGAAGGATTTGCATACTTATGTATCATCAAGTTTACTGAAAAAGAAAGAAAGGTAAGAAAAAATATATTCTTATATATGCTCTAATTTTTTTTATCATTGAGTATTAATTAAACTATTATATATATTATCCTGTGTAATCTAATCTTAATAATAAATAAAAAATATATTTTTTTCATTGTATTTAATCATACTTATTAATTTTACAGATTTCTAGTGGTGTGCATCGAAATGGCAATATTGCTGGAAATGGGAACAGTGGTAGTGTATCACCACGGAACCAAAGTGACAGTAAGAAGAGATTATCAGATCAGACTATTGATACATGTGGAAAGAAACGTAGAGTCACTGACACAGAAGAACAAGTAGGTAGTACATATAAAGTGCAGAAGAACTTATTTGTAATTATTGAAAACATTCTAATCCTTTATAGACAGAGAATACATCATTAGTGGTTCAATCTTGTGGAGATGATAGCAATTCTGGATTCAGCCTGGATGAATACAAACAGAATTTATCAACTGCTAAGGACGTAAGACATTATACATATAATGAATCATAATCAAAATACAGGATTAGATAATTACATAAGCATATATGAAGCAATATATATAAATATATATATATAATAAGTGAAAGATTTAAATTTACTATAAAATATTTTTATTTCCACATCTCGCCAGGCAAAGGTAAAATGAATAGACACATGATAATATGTAACAGTTCTAATTGTCTGCTTTTTTAAATTAACATTTGTTAATATTTATCATCTCATTTTTCATATATATGCAAAATCCTACAAATGTAAACATTCCATATCACTAACATTTTAAGATTATAAAAAAATGCACACAAAACGAATATTAATATTAAATAGCTTATTTCTTGTCTCTATGAAGACACTCAACAGCTGCGTTTATGAATTCAAATTCTGGCGGATGAAGATTCATTAAAATTTCCAGCATTTTAATTGCAATTAATGATATAATTCATTCTTCCGTAATGTATGTCTGTTATAGGAAGGACCTACTAGTACATCCACAGTAGCGCAAGAGGGATTTGTATGCACTTGATGACCACTGCAGGATTATCTTACGCCAATCCACAGATGCTCTTCTGGGCCATCTAGACTGTAACGTTTCTTATGCAACCATCCACTGCCCACTGTAAGTCCTTCGTTTCGTAAAAGCAAAACAATGTAATGGAGGAAGCTATCCAGGTGGAGTCAATCGACAGATGACTGTTAATATGTTTGTGTAACAAACGCTATAATTAATAGTATTTATAAAAGAAAACAGAACATCGACACAGTCAATGGGAACAATTATACGCCAATATTTATGCGATTGTGCCAGTGTCGTTTGTAATGTTACTTATATCAGTGGACGTATTTCAGATAGCTGAGACACGATAATTGAAAGAACTTGTCATCGCGAGAGTTAATCTATTATCGCGCTTGGAAAGAAATTAATAATTATACTTTTTATATTTCCTTTTTGTATATATTGATTACATTACTCTTTTTTATTGATAAATACTTGAACAAGAAACTTAAGATTTGATAATACCTGATGTAACATAATTTTACATAATTTACATGACAAACAGAAATAGTTTGGTCGAGAAAATTACATGTATGGAAATTTACGAATATTTCCGCATGTTAGAAAAAAAAATTAAAAAAAGAAAATACGAAAAATAGAATATATTCTTATATAAAGTGCATTTTTGTAATGCACAGTGAAATATGCTTTAAAATGCATATATGTATCGTTTAGTTGTATAAGTAGCTGATATATACTTTATTAATATTAACGCAAATCACACGTCGTGATCTGCCTTTTTAGGGACTTACAAACAGTATTGTAATATTAGCGTTTTAATACGCTTTACTGTTTGTACTAAATGTATATAAACTCTATTATTTACGTGATACTTAATATACTATTATTTGTAAGAATTAGATATTCCAACGCAAGTTGCAGAGAATAGAATATCTTATTCATTCGTACAACTCACTGTTTATAAAGAAGATGCTGTAAAATGCTTACTTGAGATGCGATCACTTTTCGCTGTGCAAATATAATGCAACCGCATTACAAGAATCACCGACACTGGCATAAGTCGAAGATGTTTCATTTGTAGAGTATATACGTAGAATGAAATATTCGTTTAAGAAAAAAAAAGAAAAAAGAAAGAAACTTGCAAATGAAACATCGTAAATAGGCCATTGACTATCTTGTTGATGATTATGTTGCGATACATTTTCATCCGGAGCCGCTTTTTAGGGTTTTTTTTCCTTAGAAAAAGAGATGTAGCTTTAACGAATTAGAAACGGGCTGACAATTGGTTGATTGATGGCTCATTTGTCATCAAATTTGAGTTGTTTCAGGTATTTTCTATTCACCTTGCTCCTAATCTACGGCTCTGATATTCTTAGTCCTAATCACCCTCCCTTTTACAGTCTCGATTCATGTGTTAAAGGCATGTCCACTATCGTAAGCTACAAGGTATTTGATGTTCATTCTTTGTGGTATTTATAAACAAAACTTGTGAATACCGCAATGTGTATACAGAAATCACGTACTTGCAGAGTAACATTTGGCAAAAAGATTTGAGATACAATTTATCAAAATATCAACATTTAAAAACTTGTTTTAAAATATGAGAACAAATATTATATCTATGTTTCGTGCAGAATTCGACATTAGCAGTAGCTCTCGATTATTATATCTTAGAACGCCTGTAATAATACAGTATACGTACAATTCAATGGGATTATCATACAGTTAAATTTTATGTTCAATATGAAAAATCTTAACTATTATATATTATGACACTTTGCAAGTGCTATGATTTAATGTACAGTGATTAGGAGAACCATTCCGTTACTTGTATATACTCATAAATGTGCTGAGATTATAAGTTTCATTCTTTTAGGACCTGTCTTTTGCGTTAAGTCGTTTTATTTATTGATCGAAGATATATACGTTTTCCCATAAGTTAAAAAGAAAAGAATAGTGCTGCCTTATTTCGTCTTATTTTTTCGTGGATTCACGCCAATTTCACGTTTGAATCTAAGATTGAAGTGTATGTACCGTGTACACACGAGAAGGACTAGGCCAGTTGATTCGATAGGTCACGAAACCTTTTTCACGCGTATTAATATCAACATGACATACCGCGAATAACATAACACGGTCATCTTTTTAGATAACTACGTAGAAAACGTGTAGAATTCATGGTTGTAGTTAGGTAGAATTCTTTTTCAACCGAATTCGTTATTATGATCGCATGATACCATGAAATAACCGTGGATTTATTTTGCAATATAATTGATATCATAGATCGCTTTCCTGTATAGATTCGATGTAGAGGAAAAAATAATATTTCTCTAGATAATTTTATTCTTATTGTTAGTAGTCAGTCATTCGCATATCCACTTAATAATTATTATTTTGATTCGCACGTGCAGAAAAAACGGATAAATTCGTGCGAAATGAGATTTATTTTGTTTTTTACAAGAGATTGTATAAGATAATACAATCTATTATCATTCATTTATACTTGATCCCGAGAAATTTCCAACTTTCTTAACAAACTTCCTAAAATCAAACATTACACAAAACATTATTTAAAAAAATTTTTTTATAAACTATGTGCACAATATATTGCTGAAATATAATTATTTTTGAAATTAAATGCCAATTTTTTTATAAATATCTGTCCATAGAAAAATTTGTGATTACATTAAACAAATATTAATTTACAATTTATAAGGAATAGTATGAGACTTGACTTTTCATCAGTAAAACATATCAGTAAAAAATTAAATTCTTTTTGCAAATAAAAATATTTCTAACTGTTATATTTTCCTAAATTTCTTGCTTATTCTTGTTGGAAAATTCAGAAAGCGTGTTGTATATGTGAAGCTCAAATAATGAATAGGATTATTTGTACATTATTGAATATAAAGTTTTTCTAGTTTATATGACTGATATATTAGCTATGAAACGATCGTATTTTCCGTCATTGCCTCCTGACAAATTAGACATTCATGCATTTAGACACAAAACTCAAAGAACATTAATAGAAAAGATATATGTGTGTATACACACACGGAATTAAAATTAAAAAAAAGTTTAATTTGTGGAGATGCATAATGTGCGCTTTGCAATGATTAAATTTTGCGGAGCATATTAATCACGGTGCAATATGTTACTTTTTTTTTAAATACAAAGTACAGAGTCATTTTAATTAGTTAGGAAATAATTTTTCTATTATGCAAATTTAAATTTAATTTTGATTAACATTGTGCGATAAAATGTGACAAAGAAATACTAATGCTAATATATAAAAAAGATATATATAGATTGCGTATTTATTCCGTCAAATAAATGTCAAGATCTTTTGCACTTCCTCATCCATGTTCATTATTCATGTTAAACATCTTATTGGCGAATTACACGGGATAATATCAAGAATTTCATAATGATTTATAAATAAGCATACAAAAATTCATAGAAATTTTTTAAGACATTTTTTGAAAAGAATGAATTTTTAGATTTCGTTTAAACTTCTGTTGCCGCGCACTCCAGTTACTATGATCATTATCACTATTATTAGTATCGTTAATATATATATCTAATCGCTATTATTGTCACATGTTTCATAATTAATCTCTACTTTTCTATCGTAATAAACACAGGACTCGCTCTTTATTTGAACAATGTTTTAATTTTTCATGATTTAAAACAAGTCAAACTTTCGAAAACAATACTCGATCACAAATGCCATGACATTTGGATCTGCCACAAAAATTGCCATATTCAATAGAAATGGATTCTGATCTCCCTTGCTATCGATTGATTATTTTATTGCACCAATTTTTCCATAAAGCATTATAGCATTGTCTCTGGATATGTTAAACTTATTAGCTAGTCATCTATATATTTCTGACGTTAATGATCATTGTCTTTTAAATTTTAAGATTCACGGAGATCGTACATTGCACAACTTAAACGCGCGAAAAGAACATCGTTGTTATTATATTAGAAAAAAAATAAAGTACTATCGCCGAGAATCGTGAGTAGTGAACATCAATGTTATCCTTGTACGCCAAATCTTGTCACTCTTTTATATTGCTGTTCATACGTACGTACCTTTCTCTCTTCTTCTCTTACTCTTGGGAATAGCTAGACATGTCTGTAGCACATTCTCCATTCCCATGCAGCTTCTCCCTCTCCTGAAAACCACTATCGTTGATCAACGTGGGCATCTTGCAATTTCGATAATAGAGCAAGGTGAGATAAAGGGAAGGGGAGCGCTATCTTTCTCTCAACCCGCAATTTTATCTTTTATTAAATATATGGAAAAAAGGGGGAGAGAAAACACGCACTTGAGACAGAAATGCGGGAAATACGCTGAAGGAAAAATAAACGCGAAAATTTAAGATGCAAAATTCAGTTCGAGACGATTCCGTCGCGCGAAAGCTGTACGAGAATCGCGCATAAGATCTAGTGTCTTTGTATCGTAGCTATTGAAAAGATTGTAAAAGAAAATAAAAATGCATTCTAAAAAATTGCTCGAAGCTTGCGTGCAATACGCAAAAATATTTACAATCGCGTATGATCTGAAAAATAATCCTCGAGATACTATATGACATAAATTACATTTGCATACATCGAGATCATGTATGTTTGTGCACACTCAGTTGTATACATGATAGCGATCGTATACATTTGATTTCACAAAGATACATTCCGCGAGATATGCCGTATCAGCATTCACAATTTTTTTCGAGCGAGAAAGGCAGTATGCAATTTTGTTTTCGCGAAAATTTTTCGAAACAAATTACATCTCACAAATTTTATGCATTATTCGCATCGATACATAAAATTCGCTATTGTTAGATCGTGAATGTTATACGCATTATGCACGCGTAATAATTAATCGATCTGCCGCGCGTCCACAATTGGCAATAGCATAACAAAAATTACAAAAATAGACATAATTTGTATCCTCGATCATTGTACACTATGTATCCTTCTTGAATAAACTGAAATAAATTTTTCTTTCAACTCCTTCAGCCAAAATGGAACGCCTTTGTCAGTTGCGTCAAGGCGAAACGATGATTCAGAAATAATTACCTTTGAATGATATTAATGAATTGTTTTCAATTATCTATAATCGTCCCGCCTTGACGCGATCGACAGATTGTTTTTTTCATAAGTATCCTGTCCATCATCCACGATTTTATAACTACTGAATATTATGGATCTTTATATGGAGTCAATTATTATTGTTAACCTTTGACATTTCATTGATATTTTCCATTTGAGTGACAATCTTGCAGTCATTTTAGTTGTCAATCGTCAATGATTATTATCAAGCGAAATTATGGTAAGTATTGTATATAATTTATCACATGGTACAAATGATATGCAATTAAAAGATTTTATCATGGTATAAATGATTTATCATGCGATAAATAATAATTGATATGTATAACTTTTCTTTTGCAATTTAATTATAAAATTAAATATAATTTAATAAGATTAAAATAACATAATATAAAAGTATGGAAATATAAAGTATTCTCATTATATAAACGTCTATACAATGCAATTATATATTTTAATATAATTTAGATCATAAAAATAAATTGAAAATAATTTCATAACAGAGATATATATTCAATGTCTTCAGGTTTGTCTAAATTTAGACATAATTATAATTATGATATTTTGATAACTTTAAATGACGCTTTCCAATGATCAAGAATCGACAGCTGGCCGCACAAATAAAATGTCAAGCTGACTAGGACACTTCGTTCCAGTTGGACTGACGATCAAAAATAGATTAAACGACTTTAAAATAGTATAAAATAACGCATGCAAACGTGCATCTTCGATATATTGTAAAAGAAATTATACAAATTGGCAGCTATATACAATGGCGTACAGTTAGAGAAATCATATGATTTTCCATCATCTTTATATATTTTAATAGAGATTGTGTTTTAATAAGATTAAAACACAATCTCAATTAGAAAAAATAATATTTAATATAAAAGAAATAACATTTATGTGAGTAATACTACTTAATTATTTATCTTTTACATATTTCTTTAAAGATTTTAAGTCTACTTTAAATAATTTATTTGTGATAAATTTTTAATTTTAGAGAGAAAATTCTATTTATAATTATATATATATATTTTAATGCATAGTCTAATGTATATCCTGAAATATATATTTCATATGTGCATTTTTTTCTTCAAGTCTTTTCTGAATTACACATTTTACAGAATTCAATTTATAAAAGTATAAATAAATCCTGTTTTAATTTGTCAATTAATATTTGTTAAAGCAAATTTTTTAAAAAGTATTTGAAAGAATTATAAATATTACTATTTGAAACGCTATTTTTCTCGATATATAATATATAGATTATATATCGAGAAAAAATAGCGTTTCAAATAGTAATATTTATAATTCTTTCAAATAATTTTTTAAAAATTTGCTTTAACAAATATTAATTGACAAAATTAAAACAGGATTTATTTATACTTTTATAAATTGAATTCTGTAAAATTGTAATTCAGAAAAGACTTGAAGAAAAAAAATGCACATATATGAAATATATATTTCAGGATATACATTAGACTATGCATTAAATATATATATTTTTTCTAATTGAGATTGTGTTTTAATCTTATTAAACACAATCTCTATTAAAATATATAAAGATGATGGAAAATCATATGATTTTCTAACTGTACTCCATTGTATATAGCTGCCAATTTGTATAATTTCATTTACAATATATCGAAGATGCACGTTTGTATGCGTTATTTTATACTATTTTAAAGTCGTTTAATCTATTTTTGATCGTCAGTCCAACTGGAACGAAGTGTCCTAGTCAGCTAGATGGAAGACAATCTAAGATTAGTATTATGTAATACGTGACCACTGAGGACAACCATATTATCAACGACATAATAAATAACATTGATATCACATTATATCAAATAATCCTGCGCAGTTTATCAGATTTTCGATAAAATCTTTCTTTCATGTTTCTTTTTATAGCTATCAGAAAATGTAACAATTGATTTACTTTCTATCGAAACATCACGTTCTTTATCACAATCAATCAATATGCAACAGTAAGCAATATTTCTCATCACCTGTTGATATCATGCATATTGTGTATAAAGCTCACAACAAAAAACGTTGTACAAATTATAAGTAATATAAAAGAAAAATTAACAGTTGTGATTTTTCAGTCCGAGTTCAGATAATATTATCATCGATAATATAATCGAGAGCAACGGTATGCTCCGTGACAGCATTTCCTCGTCATAAAACGATTACATTTGCAATCACATCATTTTTTATTAAACGTAAAATGTTAACCGATTAAAAATTGCCAATCTCAAAATTTGTAAAAACGAAATTTTTCTATATGTCTTCTTCATCACTTCTTAATCTCGCATGAGATTGACAAATGCTAACAGAAAATATTTACGTCTCCAGAGAGTAATGGTTCTTATCATCTAGATATTAGCAAAATTTCTCTATAAAAAAACGAAGAATAAAAGATTGAAGTCTATCCAAGAGAGAGAAATTTTTTCTCGGAATGGTAAAAGTACTCAAAATTTACACGAAATGAAACTTTACCATCATATCTATATCACTACCATATCATCATGGCGAGTCTTGAAAATTCATATCGTTTTTTATTAATCCATAACTACACGTTTTCACGATAGTTCTCGTGTATCGTGCGAAATTTTGCCAACGGTGTAAATCGTTCATGTGGATCGAGCATGGGAATAATTTTCAACGATGCTGATGCAGGTAAATCTGCATGTCTCATAAGCTGTATTATATCGTACTTTAAACACAGCTGGAGGTATTTTGATCTTAAATATTGCGACGTGACTCTTTTTCGATTAAACTTTGACGTAACAAAGAATATTGATTTTTAATTAGTGGCTCACATCTCTAAAATCTCATAATACAAGTCAATATTAAATAATAATACATATTGTACATAATCGTTACCTTATTTTAGGACCATATGTAAAACGTAAATTTAAACTGTCAATTGTAGCCTTTAAAATTTAATTATTTGTACAACAAAATAATTTCATAATCTGCTAAAATAATATAATGCTCAAAATTATTTTATTTTATGCGGCAATTATTTTATAATAATAAGTATAATTATTTATTATTATATACATCATTTTGCAAAATTTTTACAATGTGTTATATCATAACATCAAGATATGTTGTATATGCATATAATAGAATGCAAAAAATAAAAAGAGTTTGCAATATCTATAATAAATTCCATTTACATACGCGTTTTTCTATACTTATTCAATAAGAGACGAGTGAGGCGATTGGTCGAAAGAGTGGAAGAAATGGACATAAAGAAAAGCTCTGGAATTGACGAAGAGCGCGTGTGCAACGTGCTGGAGCTTACACCATCAGCAGATGGATGCAACTAGTGTCAGACAGTTAGTATTCCGAGTTCTAGTCAGTTACGCGGCGAATGTGAAAACTTCAACATAGTGATCCAAAAAAAAAGTTTCTCAGTTCTCTCTTTCTTTTTCTTTAAATTTTAAGATTGTGATCATATTTAAAATAATAAGCATTAATTGAGCTTTATAAGAAAACGCAACGAAAAAATTACTAAAGCATTATGCGGTACAAACACATCACTCTTGTCGGTGCATCACTAATTACGGCACTCTGCATATTATCTGGACTCATGTACTACTTCAATCAAGGTATGATTGATTGATGATGCATTGTCTTAAGCAAATTTTATTGTTTTAATCAATCTTAATATTGTCAAGATTAATTACATTCTTACTATAATATTTATTTCTACGAAATATTGCAAAAAATTCAATGAATTATAAAGAAAATCATTTTTTAATAAACAATATTAATTTATAAAGACAGAATTTTCGAAATACATAAACATTGCCAGTAATTCTAATTAGAGAGTGCCTGAAAATACACAACAGAAGTTTCGTGTTTTCTTCAATATTTAAAAACAATTCTCAGCAATTTTGAGAAATTGTGACATTTGACAAAAAGTTTGTTGTGCTTATATAAAAAATTGAAAGAAAAAATTATATTCTCTGTATGAAAAATTTTCAGTTATTATTTGTGGTCCTTAAACGTTATTTTTTTTAATATTCTTTATATTAAAATAATATATAATATAGTACTTTAATGTCAATATATAAAATTACTCAGTGGTTATTTCTTATGCTTCAACACGTACGTGTTATTTTTAAAAGATAAAAATGCGAAAGATAAAAATTCTTCGTGCTATAGTGCAGCACTATTAGAAGCAGCTTTCACAAAATGAAAATAAGATATATGTTGCGGTGATAAATAATTGCCGCATGTAAATCTTCGGAAATAATAATTCTTAATTTTATGATAGTTTATGACGAAATTATAATAAGAAATTCTGATATATTTTTTGTGTGCGTTTTAGACAAGTGTCCTGTCGGTACGTTCTTGTGTAATCAGAGCACTACATGCATGCCACAACATAGCTGGTGCAATGGCAAACTAGATTGTCCATATGGTGATGATGAATCCACGGAAAATTGCTGTGTGTTTCAAATGTTACTAATATTAATGCAACAAATATTATCTTCCGCCAGATTCATATTTTAATTGTTATTCAAATCTATAAAATCTTTAAAATTGTTTAGCTAATGGCTACATACAAATTTATTTCTTTGCTTAAAGACAAATAAACTTGACTGTTTTTTTTTCAAAAATTTTATTATTACTTCAGAATTCATTATATCATCGACAAATTCCGAAGTAATAAATATTATGCGTTTTAACACAGGATTCATTAATTTTTATTAATTTTAATTACATTTGAAGAAAAAATTGGCTTGATTTTTAGATTTCCAAAGATAGTTTCACTCTTCTAATCGATAAATTTGCTGCGCAGTTGACATGCACGGAACTTGGGATTGGTTTATGAAAAAGAGAGACTGGGGAAACTCGGAGTATTGCGGTAACGTCATAAAATACACAAGATACTTAACGTTCGCAACTTTTTAAAAAAATTATTTTTATAGCAGATGCATTCGAGGACGCACTAGGTAGATGTGTCTATGATACATGTCGTGTGACTTGTATGAATTATACCGAAATACCGCAGAACTTGTCATCGAACGTCACAGCGATGTACGCTTTGCAAAAAATCACGCTTTTCGCAATATGTCATACTTTTATATAAAGCTAAATTTTGTGCATTTAATAATAAAAGATATATTAGTGGTAATCGTGCAAAATGAATGATTTGTTTAAGAATTATAGGGTGGATTTATGTTAATTATTAATGTTATTTATATCAATAATTATTAAGTATTAATAATGTAATTTTCTATAGTTTCTTGACCGAAAATTTACTTACGTATCTGTCCCGTAATGCATTATCAAGATATCCAGAAATACGCTTATTGTAAGTCATAAAAATTCAACGAAACTATCATGAATCTCTCTATAAAATATTATTATCTTCTGCAATTTCAGATATTTTGATAGTAACAATATATTCGAGTTGGAAAAAGGAGCATTCCTTCACCAAACTAAGTTGTTTTGGTTGTGAGTATAAGAATAATCCACGATTATATGTAAAATACTAGTATGTAAATAAATTTCTTTTTTTATATATACAGAATTCTCACGAATAATAAAATCAAAGAAATATTACCTGGACATTTAACGGGGTTGGATAGATTGGAAACCCTGAGATTGGATCAAAATAGAATTGTGATGGCAAATTTTATGATTTGGAAAACAGTACCACTGCATACTTGATGTAAAACTGTCACAGTACAAAGCTATCTTATGCTAAATTATATTTGAAAAATAATATATAAGTATAAGGAGCGGTTTTAATCTGTTAACTTTTCATCATTTATTCCAAAATAAATATTTTTATGTTTTCTGTTTAGAATATTATTTTATATTTTTTTCACTTAACTCTCTATATGTATTTAAAGTTGTCATTTGAAATCGCAAATTCTGTTTATCTGTACTACATATTTTATATTGCTCCTTTTGATGACATGATTCATAAAAGATTAAAAACTGAAAATCGAAAATTATAATTTCCAAATAATTTAATTCACGTTATGGATAAGCAATGATGAGCATACTTATTATTTACTGTATATCAGTATCAGTAATTTCCAAATAATTTAATTCACGTTATGAATAAGCAATAATGAGCATACTTATTATTGACTGTATATCAATATATCAGTCATTTAAAAAACATAGATTTATTTGTAGATCACCTGAGCAATGTACGGTAATTTCACGATAGTTTATACGAAGACGACTAATATACAAATTCTTTACCGCAATCAGATCAAAGTAAATTGCAGCAAAATTACAGTTGATTATCAAGACACTTACATCAGTATACTGCTTCTTTTAAAAAATTATTTTTCTAAATGTGTGCCTGTGTTTCATATAATACGCTTTTTTATTCAAGAATAAAACTATCAATAATCACTGACGTGCTGCTTTTCGAAACCGGATTATGTCATTCATATTCGCCAATTTTGATTTATAATCTTGATATGTTACTCTACTTTTTTTACAAACTATTTTTATTCGCAAACAGAAATCTAAGTAAGAACATGTTGACGGCATCTACCCTGAAGCTACCACAATTACCGGTATTGACAGAAATGTAAGCTAATGTATGCAGCTTATTTTTAATGAAAAAGAAAAAAAAACGAATCAGAGAAACGACATGCACACGTACACAATCGATTTTCCAAAGTTACGTTTCAGAATATTGGATGGAAATCGCTTCGAGTCGATAACGGAAGATTTATTCGCCGGATGCCCCGGTTTGAAATCACTGTACGTACGTAAGTAGATTACGGAGAAGCGATTACTGTCATTCTTAATAAGATCCATGCGAGCTAACGGCGCAACGATGATTCAGGAGTATGGAGGACAATAGCATAAGCAACATTGATGAGAACGCGTTTCGAAATTTGCAACAACTTGTCGAGCTGTAAGTGCATAAATGTTAATGTGACTCGATTTCTCAAGTTAACGGTATCCGGTGGTTGGGCTATCGTAACTATGGGCTATCGAGATAAAATGCATCGCATCGCTTCGATTATTAGCAATATTACGTCGCGCATGATCGATTTCTATTTAAAGTATCTTCCTGTTTCAGTTTTCCCCAATTAGTCTATGAATATAATATAAATATAAATGTAGTATTCGATTTTATTTTATTATATCCATCTCCACGTAAGATTCCAACTCACATCTATTTCAAAGCTAAAATATTAAGATTTGTTACAGATATAATTAGAAACTTTAAAAGTAAAAGTTTAATTAAAAATTAAAAGTTCACGTCAAGTACAAGTAATTTCAAACTGCACCGCGTCTAATTAATTGTTTGCAAATAGAATGCAATTAAAATGCACGCGGTTTGTTTCAGTAACTTGGCCTATAACAAAATAATCAGGATACCGTCAACCGTGTTCCAGCCTGTAAATAATCTATCGAAGTTGTAAGTGTCATTTATCCATGTCGTATACAATTTGCGTGATAATTAGTATCACTGCTAAACTGCTCGAGCTTATGTACGTGCTTGAGATCCATTCGCTAGTATTTACCACTGAAGATTTGTTCGCGAAACTACGAAAAGATCACGCTCGTACAACTACCTGCAACCGGTTTTAATTACAATTTAAATTTGCACGGATGCAAACTAGAATCTATTTGCAAAATAAAACACATTACTCTAGCAAATATATAATTTCTCTCTCTCTCTCTCTCTCTCTCTCTCTCTCTCTCTCTCTCTCTCTCTCTCTCTCTCTCTTTTTTTATGATTTTCATAGGATCTTTCGCCTTTTCAGATTAATCGGTTACAATCCTATCGTTGAATTATCAATGACGCTCTTTAATCCGTTGAAAAATCTTCGATCTCTGTAAGTTGCATCTTTTTACAAAGATAATTTATATACAATATTTTTTCCATGTTGATACGCATAAATTTTATATCAACTTTGTTATATTTATACCGTAAGATTTTTGTACTCTTTATCAATTTCGATATTAATATAAAATGCATCAAATAATCAATATCCTTTTTTTTATTTCGAAACTTTTAATTTCAGAAGTGTCGAAGACATAAATATGGATGATATGGAAAAAATGCATTCAACATGTTTTCAAATCTTGATTTTGTGTACGTTTATACTATGATTATTTAATATATAAAGTAACTAAAATAAAAAAAACAACTAAAATAGAAATTATTAAAAAATAAAAAATATTTTATATAAAGATCTATTATTTCAATAAAATCTTCATATAAAATATCTTAATATATTATATTTTTCATGTAATTAGCAGTGTAGATTTTAAAATAGAAAGTTAAACTGAAAATATATATAATTTTTTATTTCTTATTTTCTAATGGAATGATTAAAATTTTTGAACAGTAATTCTCAGTTAAAGGTATACAATATCTTCATTATTTGATACAAATTTCATTGAAATCAATCATGATATAAAAAATTCCAAATTTTTAGATACTTCAAGAAATTCCATTACTGCATGACCTATGCACCAAAGGTACAAAAATGCAGACCCATTAGCGATGGTAAGATATATCGCGTATAAAGTTTTTAAATTGTAGCAACGACTGATTAATTCGGCATTAAATCAAATGCAAAATAAAAAAGCAACAAAAAGATAATTTAATATGTCTTCTCTTTTCTTATTCTCGTTTTTTTTCTTTTTCTTCAAGGTGTGTCATCAACGTCCCATTTGCTCAGCAAATCTCTACTAAGAGCTGCTGTTTGGAGCATATCTTGTGTAACTTGTCTCGGTAACAGTCTTGTTCTGTGGGGAAGATTTACCGCCAAGGATGAAAACCGTGTTTTAAGTATTGTTATCAGAAACCTTGCAGGTAATTATACGAATATGTCTCTGACAACAAATTTAATAAGGAAGTAAAATTATTCTTTTCTTCACTCTTTGAAATTCGAAGAAATAAAGTGATTATTTTAAACGTACGATAACATAAAAATATAAAAACAAGATAAAAATAATTTTTCGATCTTGACATTTCTTGCGGTCCTGAATGCTGATTGTTTCGATGATACATGTGTTTCGTAATAATTTCTGTAAAAATATGACAGCTAGAGTTGAGCTCTTTAAATATCGCAGATAGACCGTTATGTAGAAGAAATGACGACGACGTAAATAATCCTTATTCAAATGACTCGTGGTAGATTCGTACCGAATCACGAAGTGCACGCGAGTTATCATCGTTGCGGTTAACAACAAAGCGCAACACTGTGATCGATCGACCATATTAATGTTGGGTTCACCATAAATCACCAGGCAGTAAAGTCACGTAATCCTTTTATAGTGTCCGACATGTTGATGGGAATATATCTCTTCATAATCGCTATAGAAGACGCGAGGTTCCGCGATAACTACCAACAGGAGGCGAGTACGTGGATGTCCTCGTGGTCCTGCACATTTCTAGGAGCATTGGCGATGATGTCATCCGAAGTATGCACATTAACACCATGCTGAATCCCACAATTTTCAATTCGCAACGTACAATTTGCTATTTAACGGTACTATTTATAATGACGGTCTCTATGCTACTACCAAATGAAATTTAGCCACTATGATAAAAATCAACTCACATTATTTACAATTTTATTTGTGCATTTAGATGCAATTAAGTGCACTTATGTGATTTCGTTGACCAAATGAATGTCAATTGAAAACCACTTCCATATGTTTTCTGCGAATAATTTAGTTTTAAATCCGTATTAAAGGAAATTTTTAACTTTTCAATTTTTTTTACGAGATTCTAATTTCTCCGAATCGTCGACAGAAATTTCTAATAAATATATATTACGGTAAAAAATATAAGTTTATTAATGGATATAAATGTTTAAAAAATCGATAATGCCACAAATTAAAAATACACAATCTTGAATTATTTGACAAGGTTTCTGTGCTCATCCTGTCATTCATGTCCGTGGAGCGATTTATTTTGATCGCAGCACCTTTGAAACGGCATCGCCCAATGACGTATCACACTGCATCTTCATCGATGATCATCATCTGGATTATAGGATTCATCCTGGCTCTTGTACCAGGTTAGTTTTCACATAAGAATAATTTTTCCATTTAATTTTTATTCAATTTCAATTTGATATTATATATACACATACACATAGAATTTTCTTCTTAATTATCTTTTTCGAAAGTTATCCACTGGAGAAGCAGTACGAGATACTACGGTGTCAATGGAATGTGCTTTCCTCTACACATAGACGATCCATATCTAATAGGCTGGGAATATTCGGCCTTTATCTTCCTGGGACTTAATCTTTTCGGGTAAAATACGCATTATTGCAACAATCTTGTAAATTGAACGTAGTTATACGATATGACCAGCTGTTTCATTTTCATTTAAAATATTGTATAACTCATTTTAATTATCTTTTGATACAACGTTAAGGCACGAAATTTTATTCGTAATATTTTTCTAAAAAAATTATACCTAAATAATTTCCTTCAAATGATTCTACAATATATCGCATATTGTTACATCTAATTAATGGTATTTGAATTTTCGATTACGTAGCAATGATATAGCGTTGTATAAAAAATTTAATCAACGTGTACCGCGCGCGAGCTTGATCAATTTCTCATTTCGTGATTGCCTCGATATTGCATAGGAAGTGGGCAACGCTCAAAGCTATCATTGCATTCATTTGCAGATTGATGATTATCAGTTACGTTTACGCTGCCATGTTCGCCAGCGTCTGGAGAACGCGCCACGCCACACCGTTATCGGTCGGCGATTCCGAGTTCGCTCTCAGATTCTTCCTAATCGTATTGACAGATGCGGCATGTTGGGCACCGATTATAGGATTGAAGATTCTCGCCATGATGAACTATCCTGTTGCACGTAAGTGACAAATGACGCGAGATTTCACATCATCACCGATTCATTTCATTCGCAATATCGCCTTCATTAAACAATTGTTGCTCAAGTCAAAGAAGTTTCTTCTTTCCTAGTATTTTTAAATTTTATATTATTATATATTATAAAAAACAAATAAATTTCATATATTATTTATCTAATGACTAAATATATTTGTAGCTGATTTGCACGCTTGGATAGTGATCTTTATTCTGCCAGTAAATAGCGCGATTAACCCGCTGTTATATACTTTTACCACGCCAAAGTTTCGCGAAAGATTCAACGAGAGTTGGTTCGGAAAGATGCGCATATATATGTCAAGAAAATATTCTAAACAAGGTTTGTGTACTTTGACATAAACAATTATTCGAATTCTCTGTCATCGAGAAGACTGACAAAACGTTTGTTTTATCGCAGATTCGCAGACATCGGATATCAACAAAACTAGGATTATTGATAAAAACATGATATAATCATTATGGATCAGACATAATAATGACAGAAGAAGAATATTATCATTCGTTGATTTTGTTGATGAAAAAATTCTATTCGAGAATCAGGATTAAAAAATTAATCAATTGTCTAATATTTATATTGCACTTCTTTACTATACGTTTCATAATTTATTACCGCTAATAATTTTTCGTGCGCATTAGAGAGGCAATAGATTGTAGTTACAACTGAGAATTATAAAACTTCGTGTATCATATGTATATCCACCATATGTATATATAATAGATTAGCTTATTGTTAGAACAAGAGTAAAATTCTCTAATTCGATAATCATTAAAGAAGAAAAATATTTGTGTAAATAATTTGAATTAAATCACTTTAAATTGTAAATGCACCCCCTCGAAGAAATCTTCTTTAGTATAACACAAGAAATTATCAATATAAATTGTTGTGCAAAATATTTTTGCCTATTCTCTTTACAAAACCTATTTTATAAGATAGTGCTACTGTATCTGAAGGATTGCATACTGTTTTTTGCATGAGTTCTGCAAATAATTTTGCATTGCAAGCATGCCTATCCTTTTTCCTTAGATCAGTGCGCGATATAAGAAAGAATATCCTCAGAACCATCCTTCTGTTTCGTGCATGGGCAATCCTGAAGCGGATATTTGATTATACGTATACTCCGATGACCCCCGATGGAGTATTCTCCACCCACCAGCGGAGATCGTGCTCGCAAACGTAATAAATTATTTTCCGACGAAGTCGAAAACGCGACTGCGCCCGAAAAATTTACGACATCGATTCTGATGTACCGGCAAATCATGTTCCACGATGTTGGCACCGTTATGTCGGGTCAGCGCCACTTGTTCCGTATTATTATTGCGAGATGAGAAATTTATCTTCGAACACGCGGGCGTAACTTTTTAACGACTCCACACCGCTGTAAGCTCTAAAACAAGCAGTACATCACTCAAATATATTCGATTAGTTGGTGTAAGATCATCGAGTCGACGTGACTATCCCTGGACATGACTTACGAAGCGATAATAAATGATAAAGACGAAGAAACAAAGATAAGGAATTACTGACAATTAATTCCCATCTTTCAGAATACATATATACGTGTTTCTCTCTTTTACACATCTCTACTATTATATATCAGATAATAATAGTTGAAGTAATAATAGTTGAAAGACGACTTATATACAACAAATCAACGAAGTTCACGTTTTTCTTAATCAAATAATTATAAAAATCTTTTAAATATAGATATTATAAATATCAAGATATCAAATGTCATAATATAATATAAATCCTATGTACCGTATATAACAAAAAAATTAAGCGCGCAGTAAGCAGTACTTGAAGAAACACATACATATGTTTATGACATTCTAATTTAAATGAGACGCGTGATGCCTATTATTTGAAAAATGTTTCCGTAGAGAGCAAAATTATAAGATAGAAGATGAATGGTTTAAAACTAAAATACTGATATGGTACAATCTTTCTTTATGTTTTTTTTACGAGTAAATTCTTCGATCGAAATCTGTTAAAATGCGCAGAGGTACAAACAACGAGATACGCAACGATATCCGACTTCCGACTCTCAGATGGTTACAGTCAGCCGTAAATCATGCGAACGGCCAAGAAAAATGCATCTCGCGAGCACTCTACGATCTACCGGCACGTGGGTTGGCTCTTACGCGATATAATGTGTAATTTATGGCGGATGGCCAATGGTGAGGTCCCGTTAAGGGGCCTCGATACTTCGCCCGAGACAGACCGCCTTTTAGAACTGACTTTTCTTCCGCCTTAAGCTGCTAAGATTTCTTCGGCTACAATACAATTACGCCACGACGTGGGCGGATATGCGTTATGCGATCGTCCACGAAATATCAGGACGAAATAAATGTCCCGGAATAAAAAAAAAGAAAAAAAAGACAAATACATCGCTACAACACGATGCGGGTTGGTAGGCAAGGCAAACGGATGTGACGCAATTGGTACATACATTGCTGAGTTATCGAGTCATGTCCGAAACAAAAATTACCTTTCATTATAGGTATTGAAGAAGCTCCTTTAGCCCTCGAAAAGAAGACAAAACACTTATGACTCTCGATTTTTCTTCGGAGATTATTATAAACTTTTGGTAAAATACAAAAGAATATGAAAAACAAAATTGTTCTGCAATAAACTGCCATCCATAAAAATATATATATATATATATATTAATAATATGTATTAACAATAATTAATATATTACGATTCGTTGCTAAAGCAAATGTTCAATAAGATCGTATTTCTCGCAAATAATTTTAATAAATTTCTAAAATATTATAATATTGAAATTAAATTCCAGATTATTATCGTGTCAATAAGCATCTCTATTTGATATACGTGACAAAGAGAGTTTTTCCGAGGTCCAATAACGGAATGCCGAGACACCGGCCGGAAGGCAGGAAACGTGAAGGAATTTACAATGAACATACAATCTATACGTATAGTGTGACGGCATAGCATAGATTGCTGCAGCTCTTGGCAATAGAAGAACATTTTGCACACATGCAACACAAAGCGAAAGCGAACAACAAGATCACAACCTTCCGAAGGCCTTCCAGAGAATTGCTCCGGGTGAGTATCTATCTTAGCCTGGAATGTAAGAAAGGAGTGAAACGTCACATACGAGTGCCTTTTCGAATAACAAATATGAATAGCGAGAATAAAGCTTTCTATATCTTGATTCAATATCAATGACAAAAAATAATTTTTCTTTCAAATATAATTCGATTCTCAGTAATGCATGTCGCCAATTGTGTCACATCTATTTTACTCAGAAAAAGACGATATATATTTCAAGAAATGACAAATAAATATATACATATATGTATATATATTATATCTGCATATGAGTAATTATTCAATATATCACATTAATTTATCGTATTAAATTCTTATAATAAAGATGGAAAAAATTGATCATGAAAGGTATACGCCTGTCTGTGGCCCCCAACAATGGAAAGGTCTTGAAAACGTTAATAAAGTTTCGAACAGATCGCTCGCCAATCTACGAAATTGGCCGGCGAGATTCGCAAAGAGTTAAAGACGGCCATCAGACGATCTCCGGCGCGAAATCGATGCGAAAGAGCCGCCCGCGCCACGGATCTTCTCCTTCCCACAATTATAGGGTATAAAAATTCTTTCGGATTTCAGTCACGCGAGCAAAGGCTGCATTCGGTCCACGGGAAGAAGATTTACGTGCGAGGCGGTAATTGGCGCTGCTTCGAATCCTTACAGCGTGGAAGAGATCCTCCGGATATTCCAGTCTTTGCGATAAGAAAATAGAGTGCCACGTGGAGAAATCCAAGAATGTTCAGTAAAACGCGACTATAATATACGTATTTACGCTTCAATGCGATCATCGGTAGCGGTATGTGAGTGAAAGCTGATTGTAGGGTGTTTCTTTTATCGTAAACCCCGATATTGCGTAATAATCTTTAACGCACGCACCTAATGTCGTATATAATCATAAATATTCTACAATACGTGTTATATCTGAAATGTGAGAAATATTACAGTTGGCACAAGCTATCAATATATTATTCAATTATCGTTTGTGTCGTCGAAAATATTATTGAGATAAGAATACGTAATTTTAAGAATATGTAATAAGATATTATTTTTCTTGTGATACTCTCAACATCACTTGAATAATTATATCTAATCTTAATTTATTTTTGTCATTATATACATCTTATAGCTCTCACCTTACTTCTCGCTTAATTGTGCAGAGTGTTTTCTACATTTCGGAATTTCATTATTGATATAATATATTTTATGTCGCGTAAAATGTATATAAAATGTACATAAAAGGAAACCCTCTTGAGATAATAAATTATCTATCCAATCATCTATGTATATGCATTCGTGTAATATCCATCAATTTCTCGCAAGAATATACAGCGTTGATTTATAAATACGAGTCGGAAGCGCATTCTAATAAGACCAGCCACGGTGATTATCGATTGACGATGTCGATCATCTCGGCTACCGTACAAAAAATCGTTCAAGACCACAGCAATGGTGTGATGAGACCAGTAACGCGTGTTCACCTATTATATTCTATTACATGAATTACGTTCATTACGGATAGTCGACATAAATGACGGGAGATCGATGAGAAATAGACATAATAATACTATCATCGATAACTAATAATACATGTAATAATTATATACTCACACTGTGAAAGTATATAATAATAAGTCGCCAATAATTAGACCACGATGATACATCTGTTAGAAGAAGACGATAATAAATCCTACACGAATAATATTGTCACCTGAATGATACTATCGGTAATAATCATTATGTTTAAGAGAGAAATCAATTTTGTGTTTTTCATTAAGCAATTATTTTTTTAATTAACTCTTTGTAGGGAAAAAAGAAATAGAAGCGATAAATCGCCAGTGCAAAATGTGAAAAAAATTAGAAAGTTTAGGTCATTCAATACTGTCTGCGAAATAAAATCCACCCAAAACCGAAATTTACTCCGACATCGCGTGCGAGAGTACAGATGCGACTGAACAGCGAAAAGCTTTGGAAGAAGTGAAAACAAAGAGAAACGGGACACACAGAGAGGAAGTAAAAAAGTATCGTTTAACACGCGTACTCTTTCTCTCTCTCCCTCTCGTCTGTATATTAAATAATGCAACAGCTGCGAAATACACGGCATCGATTTTACGCGCCTCTGGCTCTTCTTTCTTTCGTTGTTTGCAAATTATTAACCTTGCACACAGTCTCCCCACAGTCCAATGGACCATTGTGAATTTCTTGCTCTATTTTCAGAACTGTCAATATTTTTTATCTGATTTTTATATCTCTCTTTCTCTCTCTATGAATTCTATATAATAACTATGAAATAAGAGAAAAAAGAAAGAGAGAGAATATTCATTAATCCAAAATAATATTTATAATTAATAATTTTCATTAATTTTTTTGATAAGCAAATAAGGAGCAAAAATAAATGTCAAGATTTTCTAATATTTTTACCGTACGTAGTTATTATGTGGAGTCTCGTTTACGCTTTATCCATCAAGTGACAAGATGCGAAGCGATACCGTACGTCGAGTCCGGACCTAAAAAGGTCCAGCACTCTTAAAGAGATCGAAGACGCGAGCCACCGGAATGTGCCACGTATTCGTGAGGGATGCATCTGAGTCGAGTGTATCGTGTGGCATCGTGTCGCGGTGTCACATCGCCATACCTGCCAATTACAAAACCGTTTCTGCGGTCGGCTTCCCAGCAAATGAGCAACATGTCGTGGCTACACGGTCATCGACTCGGATGCGGCAAAAACCTCGCGATGTGCCATGCACATCCGTGAACGAATACTAGTGCACAAGGACACACTAAATTCCTATTATT